AAAAGATTGGGAAAAAAAAAAAAAAAAACACGCACGTCACAGTTACACACGCAATAGTAATACAGCTGCTATCAGAATGAACCTGGACGTTTGCTAGTTCTTGTCCATTAGAGATCGCCAATCATCACCATCATCATTCCGCCAATCAGCAATTACTACAATCATCATCAATTACTAAAATCATCATCATCATCATCATCATCAATTACCATCATCATCATCATCATCATCATCATCATCATCATCATCATCAATTACCATCATCATCATCATCATCATCATAATATCATCATCATCATCATCATCATCATCATCATCAATTACCACCACCATCATCATCATCATCATCACATCATCATCATCATCATCATCATCGACGATTACCATCATCATCATCAACAACCATCATCATCGTCGTCGTCATCATCATCATCATCATCTTTAAAAAAAAGAAAAAAGCAAACACAATCTACAACACCACACTGACTGGAGTGGAAAACACAATTTACTATCCTTGTTAACTTGGGTCCTCTCTCTCTCTCTCTCTCTCTCTCTCTCTCTCTCTCTCTCACACACACACACACACACACACACACACACACACACACACACACACGCACGGACGCACGCACACAGAGACATTGGGAGGGGGGCGGATGTTATTCGGCCTTTAGCGGATACCCGAGGCCCCTCCTCTCTCTCTCTCTCTCTCTCTCTCTCTCTCTCTCTCTCTCTCTCTCTCTCTCTCTCTCTCTCTCTCTCTCTCTCTCTCTTTCTTTACACTAATCATGTTTCCTCCCAACTACATCAATTGGTGCATACAGAGGCCCCTAAACACAACGCACTCCGAGAATGAATGTATACAGGCCATTTCTCGATTTCAACCTCGGAGTGCGTTGTGTTTAGGGGCCTCTGTATGCACCAATTGATGTAGTTGGGAGGAAACATGATTAGTGTAAAGAGAGAGAGAGAGGGGGAGAGAGAGAGAGAGAGAGAGAGAGAGAGAGAGAGGAGGGGTGACGCAGGAAAATCCACGACTGGTAGTCGGGATTCCTGCGAATACACGCATAAATCGAGAAGAGGCCTCTAAACACAACGCACTCCGAGCATCAATTTTTTTTTTTTCTTTTCCCTGGGACCATTTCTCGATTTATGCGTGTATTCGCAGGAAAATATATACATATCTTTTTTGTTTTATTTATTTTTTTCGCTTTTGAGCTCTGATATTCATGTGACGATATATATTGTCACAAAAAATCAGAGCGCAAATGCGGAAAAAAAAGGGAAAAAAAAGAAGAAAAGAAAATTGAATTCAATTTTTTATCTTCTTCCTTATAACTCCCCCTGTTCAGAAGCTCTTGCGTACAAGGCCGCCCACGTGGATGTAGGTTGAGCGGCGGCTGCCCCCACCCCCGTGTGTCATATTGACCCACTTGCACACAGCCAAAAGGCAAAGAGGCAAAGAAAAGAGGAAGGGAACAGCCAAATACAACAAAACAGGGAGAAACAAACATAAACCAATCCTAGATGACAAGTCC